ATCTTTGGCTATGGATATCTTCTGTCCGTTTTTCACGAAAGGAAACTGAATCCCAGATAAGCAGCTTCTGGAGACAGCACTTACAAATAAGTCAGCCTGACCCCCAACTCTTATTTCCATCCACATAGCGTGCTATGAGAAAGCATCACTCTGCTTTAGATTCTAGAATGGAGATCAGGGCCTCTGTGGAAGGTTTTGCTCGCTTTCATCTTATGCATCACTGATTTGAGTCACTGACATCCCCTGAAGGAACAGCACCTTGGAGTGTGGACCAGCGCTCAGAACAATGGAAGGCAAGGATCACACTGTGCCCTGCAGTGGACAAAGTAAGTGCTTAGTTCTGGGACCCTGGTCCTACGGCGGCATTGTCAACTTAAGTGAGTCGTGGATAGTTGGATCTGTGTTCTCATGTAAAAAGTGGTTGAAGAAACTACAACATACAAGGCATGATTATAATACGTGAGAAATATTTAAATTTTTTAAAAATTAATTTATATAAAAGACACGTTGCCACTAAAGTATCCCCCACTTCAGTCTAACACACCTATCCCATCCATTTTGCCATTTTATGGACGAGTTAAGGCAATCCTGTCTCCTGAGTGTTTCTCGTTGTGTTATTATGGCTTCTTCAGTATTTGATTCCACTCAAGATGCTCACCTTGTATGATCACTTTGACTCTGGAGAAGAGTCTGCCTCCCTGAGGAGTGACATCCTGTAGGGGATGGGGGTCACCCTGCGATACTGCTGTTGGACAGGAATGGCTGTAAATGTTTTGAATTGATTCAGGACATCAAGACAGCCATGACAACACACCTGAAGACACTCAGAGAAGAGGAGTCCCAGAAGGACCTCAGGAAGTGGCAAGAATGGTGGGATCACTGTGCTCACAGCGGGAGCATTACGAGGGGGGTTGTTGACAATGTCTTTTATGGTAATAATGCTTTTTAAAATAGTCAATCACAAACTGCATTTTTGGTCAGTTCTTGTAGAAAACATGCTAACTCTAGTTTTGTGTTAGTATTTGCTAACGCACACTACATGCCTCACACTGGTCTCACTATTTTTCAGCACTAATTTGTTTGTTTTTCATGATTATCTCAGGACACAAGTGGTGGTATTGCTACCCGTTTCCCAGAAGGGGAAATGGAGATGAGCAGAGATCATACGCCCTTTCCCAAGGCCACAGTCAAATCTGTGAAAGTCTGGCTCTGATTTTCAGTGGGAACAGGAAGTTACAGGATGAATGATATGCATCATTAGGCTGCAGACAGAAAAGAGCCAACCAGGGAAGGCTTTCTAAGACAGCACAATTTGATTCCACTCCAAACCTCTACCAATTGTCATTAGTTTACACGGACACTGCTGACCACTCTCTCTCTCTGGATGTTTTCGATCCCACACGCTTTCAGAGGGGTCCTATAGCGCCGGAAGAGGGCAGATAATAGCTTTCCATGTTTGCTCCCAAGTCTGTAGCTTATCAACATCAACACAGTTGCCTATTGGTTGATGGGCGTGGACCTATTTATCCTCCTGGAATCTTGAAATATGTGTAGGAAAAACCTATGTCAACAGAAACTTAATTTCATGAACACTAAACCAAAATGTGTTACTGAATTAGGCTTTTTCAAAGTTAGAAGTCAGCTTTTCAAAATTATTTAATATTCATCACTCTTTCTACTCTTGAGTACATATATCCAGACAACAAAGATCTCTCCATCGCTTACTGCACACTATGCTATGCGTATTTTAACATCCAGCTTTCTATTGCTAGTTTATTTAATGTTGTTGTCTTTCTTTCTTTCTTTCTTATTTCTTTCTTTCTTTCTTTCTTTCTTTCTTTCTTTCTTTCTTTTTCTTTCTTTCTTTCTTCTCTTTCTTTCTTTTTTTTTTTGGTGGTACTGGGTATTGAACTCAGGACCTTGTGCTTAACAGGCAAGCGCTTATTCTACTGAGCTATCTCCCTGGCCCCTGCTAGTTTTATTTAATGATGAAAAAGTTTCCTCTGCAAAATTTGAGGTGTTTTTCTCACATTCCTGTGGCTTGGTAGGGACTAGAAAAAGCCTGGAACAAGCAACTGTCCACCACATTTTCTTCAGTCCCAGGTCCTCTACTCCTTCCCCAGGAAAGCCACATAGGTGGACCTATTTCACAAGTAATTTCAGGAAATAACCTGCCTGTGCTGAGGCATCCATGGTGGGGTACACTTTCACTCAGAGCCAGCAATGTGCTTGTTGGTCAGGGATATAAAAGATAAAAAAGCACAAATGGAAACCATCGTTTTGGCCTTGGAGGGCTTCCACATTGAGTAGGGAGATAGACTGGAAGCAGATCACTGAAGAAGACACACTGTGAGTGAAGTCGCCTAGAGTACACATTCTTCTCATCTTCCTGTTCACTGGGGCTATTCTGCCATCAGTGTTAAGATTTTGTCAACAAGTGTGAGTGTCGACTGTACCAGGTACGGTGCTAACAGCACCAGAACAGAAGAACTCTTCACCATGGCCCTGACTCAGGAGGTGCAGGTGGTTTGGATCCTGGGCTCTGGACTTCCACACGTGTCTACCTAGGAAACTGCTGGAACTGTGTGTCCCCTTCAACCTGGGAGAAGGGGTGAGAAGTCAGTGAGAAAGACAGAAGGAGGAACCACCAAAATTGCTATCATAGGTAGTTAGATCGAGCAGGCCTTGTGGGCCACACTGGGTGCACAGTGGCCATCTGAAGACCTCTGGGGAGAGAAAGCATGTGGGGTTCAGAAGCAAAGGCTCTCTACTCCAATTCTATGTGACAATTACCTGCACTCATTTTGTGAAATCTGTGGCCCAGGGCCTTATCAAAGCTCTCCAAGAAGAAGTCTGGGAGGCATGGGATAAAAATATCAGTGATTTTTCTTTAAATACTAATTTTTCACTTGGTTCTCATTTGCATCAAAGCTTGAGGACTCCTCGGTGGAGAATGTCCCTGCAATATTTATACTTAGAGCCCGTCCTGATAAACTCACACCTGTCACTATGATAAAGCCCACTCACTGCTGTCACCCAGCAGGGCTCAGAGACGGCGAGGGCCAACCCAGACCAGGGACGGTGGGGAATGCCAGGAGTGCCGCCTCTGCAGCACTGGGTCACTGTCACTTGTCCTTCAGAGAAACAGTGACTTCAGCTTCTGAGCAGATTTTGCTAGCTCAGACCCTTGCCAGCTCCCTGGCCACTACCCTGTGATTAATTTTTCTAAGAACCACCAACTGATTCTTCTTTGGAACCTCTTGCACTCCCCCACAGTCACACACACACACACATACACACACGTAAGGATGCTTTTGTAAAAATTGCCAGTTTGAAAATTTCAAGAAAATATTCAAGTATTTTACTTAGAGAGTTCTTTCCAGAAAGAAAAGTGTAACCCTACTATCAGCAAGAGACCCCAAAGTCCCTGAGAACAGGGCCTGCTCCGCGCTCCATGGACTGTGGCGTAAGACGGCTCTGGGGAGCCTTCTCAGGCACTCCGTGTGTCGGGTGAACCAGCGGGCCTCCGACCACCTGATTCGCAACGCCGCTGACTCACTCTCCGAGGGCACCTGGGCAAGATGAAGGTGCTCTCAGTTTATCAAGCAGTTAATCTCTTCAGACCCTTGGAGGAGGGAGAAAGGAATGATGTGGGAAGAACAAAAGGGTTTTGACTTTCTTCACTACCTCTTTCCCTGGCACCACTGAGCAGGCTCAACCGTTGCTGAGAAAAAAAAGTGCAACACTCCAAGCCACGGGACCTTTTGGACAGATTCTGAAACCTCCCTGCGATGTCGGCTGGACACAGTGGTTGGTTTTCTTTGTGGGGTGTGGTTGTGGAACAGAGAAAATAACTCTGCTTTAGTACGCCAGAACTAAACGCAAAATAACAGGGCCTAAGGTCTAATCTAATCATGCTTTCGTTTATTCACCTCATATAAAAGTCTCTTAAGAATGCATTTGACCACAATATATAATAATCATAGTACTATAACATACATTGTGAGAAACTTCTGGAAACAACAGAATGTCCACCCGGAACCATGCCGCGTCAGCAGACATACAACCCAACTGGTCATGCACGCCTGTACCACTGCTTTACAGCGCTGGGCCGAAGCATGGAACACATTTTACAAACTGAAAGGACGCCAGGAAGAGGCCCAGCAAGAGTTATCAGAAGAAGCTTCACATTTGCATCGTTTACTACATCAGTTCACATTTTATTATAAAAATTCACATTGTTTTATCGTTTTCTTCCATAATGAATGAGAACATGACATTCCCGCAGAGTGGCGGGCAGGAGGCTACCTCTTAGAAAGTCAGTAGTTGGGGGACACTCAGAAGAATCTTTTGTGAGCAAATGTAGTGTTGTTTTTGGAACCAATCCCACAATTGGAGTAGAATCCAGTTATAACCCAACTTAGGTGTACACAGATTTGGATAAAACACAGCTAAAACTGCATCCCTTTGCCCCCTACCCCTATCAAACTATACAAAAGTCAAAACTCAGTATAAACCATTTTGTATCTAATGGGAGAATCCTGTTGGCAAAACTGGTTCATAAAGGGTTGCAGCAGCTCAGACAGGGATAGGGCCAGCCCAGGGCCCCGTCCCTTCCCTGTCCTGCCTGCATGAGGAGGGCCATTTGTGTCTCCGAAGCTCTGTCTGGGTTATATAATACACAATATAAAACATGACAAGAAAAAATGGCAACTCTTAGGCAGAGTCTTCTACACAAATTTAACACCACCATTGGCAGGCAATGTTAGATATATAAATTAATAACTTACAAAACATTACAGTATATACATGAAGTAATAAATACGCGGTTACCAACAGGAACGAAGGCGTTAGCATGAAAGGCAGCACAAGAGAAGAGGCAGATCAACCTGGAAAGGGGCTGGGAGGGGACAGGGCAGGGTCTCAGGACGCCCATGACAGCGGCACAGAGCGGGCGGCGGCCTTGTGAGCAACTGCTCCTTCCTGCCCCATAGTGTTTGTTTTTTTGACATTTTTCTGTTATAGCACAAACAGTGAGACCTCAGAGGAAAATTTACTGTTTGAAGCAAGCTAAGAGAGCTAAGCGGACAGGGCTGCCGTGGAGCTGGACTGGCCACGGGGGAAGGAAACAGAAGAGTGTGGTTAGAAGTGCGTGTTCGCCGTTCGCAGATGTGAACTGCTGGAAAGCAAAAGCTGTTGCCCCAGAAAGAAGGAAGACCGTTTTCTTTCTCTCCCCCAGAAAGAGTCAAAAAAGTGTATATCAATTTGGAACGCTTATCTGTGTAGAAGTTGGTACTAAACGCTAGGTGTTGAACAAGCATTTTCAAGACGTGAAAATGTTTTACAGAAAGGCACACAGGTCGGCAGACAAGGGGACAGTGAGCATTATTAGTGAAGGTATTAGTCAGTGAGTTCAGCCACTAGTCGGGTCGGGGCCCGACCTTAGTGCGCAGAGATCTCTCAGCTTTGTGTCTTCCGGGTTCAAGCTTTTGGTTGTGACCGGAGTTGGCCTGCGCCGCTATGTGAACCTCAGCTCTCTGCCAGGCTGCAGGCCAGGCGGTCAAGCAGCCAACCACGGGTTCCTGAGCTGCTGTTTGCTCCTTGGCCTTGTGTTCTGGCCCCAAACTTCAGTGAGCAGAAAGGCCAGTGGCCTCTGTCCCATGCAGACCTCGCCCCATGGTGGGCAGGCCCTACCCACACTGGCATGCTCCTCAAGGGTGGGATGTCTTTCCCCCCAGGAGGGAGATTAGGTGTCAGCTGGGGACTTGTCTTCTGTTGCAGCATCTACGTCGTCGGTCTCACTCCGAGCATCCTGATTTTCAGGGTCAATCACACAAAGTGTCTTCGTGCTGCTGAAGTAGCCATGGCCCTCTCCCTCCTTCTCAGGTCCTTCCAAGTCCTCCTCCTCCAGGGTCAGTTCGAACTGAAACTTCTCCATCAGGCCCTGGCAGTCCTGGCCCCTCTCCTCCAGTGGCGGGGAGGGGCTCTGCGGTATCATGCTCTGGTACCAGTTCCTGTTATCCTCTAGGGTGTCCAGAATGTCCTGAGCATCGGGCTGGACCAGGTCGGCCCAGGTCTCCCACAGCGGGTGGACAATGTAGTCGATGAAGCCAACCTGGAGGAGACAAGATCGCGTACCTGTTACTGCAGTGGGTCATGAATGCTGGCGTGGTTTCCACATACAGAGAAATCACAACCCCAAGAAATCAATCACGAAGCATGTCTTTATCTGAGCACTTGCTCTAGAGTAGGTCCTGCACCAGATACGATGGATACACTGTGTTGCTTAATCCTGCAAATTAAGTATTGCTGTCTGCGCGAGCGGAGTCTCACTGAAGCTACATTTATTGTCTTACTGATTCAATTTTCTTACTTTTTCTGTCCTTTTGCAGTACTGTGGCTTGGATCAAGGGCCGTTGCCCTGAGCTACATCTTAGCCCTTTTTGCTCATTTATCTTATTTTGAGACAAGGCCTTGCTAAATCATCTAGTTGCCCAGACTGATCTGAAACTTCTGATCCTCCTGCCTCAGCCTCCCCGAGCAGGGGTGAGAGCTGTAACCCCTGCAGCACCCAGCTGAGAAGAAATTCCTCCAAGAGGTCATATCCCCAGGGAGTCCGACCCAAAGCCTGTGCCCATCCTGGGCAGAACACGCTGCTCTTCCCTCTGTGCGTGCCAGATGGCGTCAGGTCGCCACGCCGGCAGGAACGACATGGTCACACTTGGACTCTGTGAGTCATTCTCTGAACAAGGAAGCCCCAGGTCTGAAGTGCTCTGACTCAACATTCTTTCCTTAATGACTTTCAAATATGCTACTGTGACAAAGTGACAGGAGCTGGCCCTATCTACTCTGGAATCTCTCAAGTTCTGGGGGATGCTGCAGCTTGGAGAGGAGTTTGATAAAACACTTGAAAATAATTCAAGTCCTAAACAAACAAATACTCTCTCTGGGCACAGGCATGCTATTGTTTGGGATTTGTCAGGCACGCAGTCATTTCCATTTGAAGAAAGGAGGAAAATAAAAACAATGAAGCAGTTCCTTTTGCTGGGGTTCCTGTGAATAAGCCCCACGCATGGGGTTTGTGTCGGGTGGGGGGCTTTGCATCCTGGCATGGCCTTCCGCTGACCCCCACACTATCAGACAAACAGGAAACCAGCCCAGCAGGGGCAGGTAGACAGGGATGGACCGCGGGGGTAGGGGGGGAGTGGAATTCCCCACTCCAGGTCTTGGGCTGGAGGGATGCCAGGCAGGGCGGGACCCAGGGCAGACTGGCAAGGTCCCCAAGGGACACTGGTGGCTAGCACTATCTTCCCACTCCACTGGAAAATTTCCTTCAGTGACATTTTGGTGTTTGGCCAGTCATTTAATATTGTCAAGTTGTGTTACAGTCGAACACTTAGGTCATATGTGACTCTTTTCATGTAAAATATATATGCAAACATATGTGAGAGAGAGAG